GTCCATGGGCAGAAGGGCTGTGGTAGTGAGCTGACACTTGGCCCTGTTCAAAACCTGATTCTGAAGCTGCCTGACAAGTGTCTGCTGAAATTAGAGGGTGTGATGATGGTTGAGGCTGTTTTACTCACAGGAGTTCTGCTCAGTGGCATTGGGACTGCTGCAGTTGGACTCCAGCCTTTGCTTCATGCAGACTAGAACTACGGGGACTTCTGTTTGTTTCCTGGAGCACACTGTCCATGAACAGTTCAGCTGACAGTGTGTTGGTGTGACAGTCCTACCATCWGAGGCATGAACAAGCAGGAATTGCAAAAATCGCATTTTCGAGTAATGAGATTATTAAAAAACAGACAAACTCTTCACTATTTACTTTGTCACCTAACCCATAGTTATAAAAAATAATCATGGTTTTAGTGGATGTCACAGTTATTAATGGATTCAGTTGCAGCTAAAACAGACACAGAATTTCTGAATCTGACTAAATTCTCAAACCCCAAGAGCTACTCTTCCATTGAATCCAAAGAGAATTCATAGTACCCGTAATCATTACAAATATAACGTGAAGCAAGCATGTTCTCTTCTCCCTCATTAATCACAGGAATGTTTCCAGAGAGCTTCAAATAAAAAAAAAWAAATGATTGCTGTTTTGCTGTTACTGTGCTATGGATCATTGTAGTTGTACAATGTCATTGAATATTCTTACAAGTTGATCGGTACTTGGATTAAGGAACGGTCTTAYTGCAGTTCATGAGAGAATATGTTCTGCAGATGCAGTGCTGAGGTGTATCTTTTGTCATGAAAATGTTTGGCATAAGACAGAAAAAATGAATTTGAAGATCATTCCTGTAATGACAACAGAAAGAGTAAGAACAGGTACTGCACAGTCATGTGCAGTGAATAGTTATTTAAATTACAAATTCCAGAATAGGGAAAAGGTTGCAAACAATGTTATATGCACATTGTACAGCTAGGCTTATATTTTCATCTGGACTTGGAATGGTGTGTGTATGTATTCACTTAACTGTGGTTCTTTTTCTTTGTTTGTTTGCACAAACTGTATTCACTTGTCTTCATTCAAGTTTATGTACTTTTAAAAAACCCAAAAAAAAAACTAATCTACAACGCAAAAACTTTTGCTACAAAAAAGAAATTTGTAGCACTGCCTGATCACACACATTTTATCACTTTGGTTTGTGCTTTTATAAGAGGTGCCAGTAATTACTCTGAACTGCTTGTCCTTGTATTTAAAWGTGATGTTAAGAAGAAAACATTATTCAAACACTGAGAATGTTCTTTCAGCTGCTTTCAGCCCCTGTAGCAGGGTGCCTGGGCTCTGGGCTGCCACAGAGGTGCTGCTGCCTGATCTCAGCCTCTTCTGAAATATGGAAGGATGATAAGCATTTCTCACCAATGCATATGTAATTACAGGTTAAAGACCAAGTCTCATTCAAATAAAAATAAAATAACCAATTTTGATGCATTTAAAAATACTTGAGGTGGGATAGGCCATGGTGCAGCACAAAGAGATGGGACAGAAAGATCTGGGAGATCTTAGAATATTTTACCTCACATTCAAATAGAGATAAAAATACTCTTTTTTTCTGAACTCTGAACTCTGCTTGAAAATCTATAGAAGCAGAGCAGTATGTGGKGAATAAACAGAATTACTATAAACAAATGATTCTGTAAAGTAACAAAATTTAATAAACACTTGGTCTCATACAAAAAAAATCTATTCTTTTTATGAAAGAAGAAAAGAAGACAAACCTGCTGAAATAATGTCAAGAAGCTAAAATTATACTGCATGGAATAAAAGAATGCATCTTCTATGTAAACACAAGTAGTTCTATTGCTAACTTCATATCCTCTATCCAAAACCAAGCTCATTTCTTTTTTCTTCAGTTTTATTTACCAACTTTCCTGTTGCAACCTTCCATTTTCTTAATGAATTGCTGGTAATTTCAGAGAGTTTTTTTTCATAGGCAGTCTGAACTGGAATGGTACATTCCGTAAATTAATGATTGGTCCATCTCTTGTTAGTGGAAATTTTAAAATTCTGTTCCTCAATACYATTCCTGCCCTTATATTTTTTTGTAAGATACTAGAAATAGCTGTGAATTCCTACACTTCTATACACAGACAGAAAATAATGGGGACACACACACAACAACAAATACAGTAAAACTTGCTCTAACTTTTGAGGATTAATTTATTTGGTTGTTAAAGCAATTGTGGTAACATTGCATGGAATGGGTTTGGGGTTTTTTCCCCTCTTCTGGATTGAAAGAAAGGCTAAGCAGCACTGCTTTAATATATTTAGGCTACTGTCATGCCTCCTTTTTCAAGTTGTAGTAGTTAYAGTTGCTTCAGTGTCATCCTTTCTGTATTAATCTAATCACTATTAGCTAAAGCCTGAGCAGTTTAATGAAACTCTTTAAAATCTGGTATTTATTACTGCTGTGTTCAACTACTTTTCATCTTCATTTACTTCATGAGCATTTAATAGGTAAGAAAATTCCTTATGGATTTTACTTGAAAGCCTTAATGAAAATTATTGGGCTAAAAAGTCCCTCCCTACATGTTGCATCACTGAAAGTTTATGCTAGGTGATCCAAGGCTGACAGTGGATCAAGTGACCAAAAAAATAAGAAGGATATACCTTCACAGCATTTCTGTCATGTTAATCACTTTCTAAAAGCAATTAAAGTGTTTAATGCAAGAATGAGATTTGGGTTTAGTCTGAACTCAAAGTGCTTTGAAGAAGATGCACAGCAGACATGGCCATTTATCATGTATCAATCACTATTATTGTTTACTGGAAGATTCTATTAAACATTCACATGAAATTCCACAATGTTCACTTGTCTTGTTCAATATATCAAAGCATTAGGGAGAAGAAAAAGAAAATCACATGGTAGTGGATCTTCCTACATTTTGTTAAAACCACTGAATGAACTGGTGATAATGTCCATCCCCTGTAGGCAAACATTTAATTAAATCTTGGCAACAGATACAAATAATCTCATAACTATGAAATGGACAGCGTAATAAGATTTGTAGCCTGGAAAGAAAAAAAAMCAGTCAAACCTTAGCAAATGAATTTCAGTTTGCTTATTTTATTGGTTACTCTAGCACTTCAGGTGGAAATTGTGCTGGAAAATTCTGTTGCTTAAGATCTTCCATAATGTGTCAGAAGAAAGCGTTAACACATCCTTGCTGACCAGCCACTCTATCTTCTCTTCTGCTTCTTCTGTTTGTGGCCTAAAAACAGCAACAAGCCATATACTTGCTGTTTCTTATTACAGAAACAGCTTTTATATTTTATTCTGTTTTACGTAAGAAGATTAAACCTGTATTCTTAGGAAGGTGATGGAGCAGCTCATTCTGGAAACCACTTCTAGTCGTCTTCTTCTTCTTGTTTTTCTTCTTCTTCTTCTTCCTCTTTTTCTTCTTCTTCTTCTAGGATGAGAGCATTTATTTGCATCTCTCAAAGCCAGTTTCTCCCATCTGCTTTCTCAGCTAGAAAGTGCTTGAGCAGAACTGAAACTGATCTCTCACCTGCCCAAAGTGCTCTGTAAAGCACCTGGCAAAGCTCAGGTTTTACAGAAAGTTCAGCAGTAGTTGCCAACAGCCCAGCACMTGCAAACTCACCCAGGCCAGTCCTTTCCCTGTTCCACTGCCCCCAATTTTAGATTCCAGTGTGGATGGGTGTCCTGGGGGCCTGCTGGAAGCAATGCCTGTCCCAAGCCTCTGCGAACCGGCTGCAACGACAACCCCAGTGATACCTGGACTTAGCAGTGTCCCGAGGGAAAAGAGGTGTCAAGCCTGACAAGCCTCAGCTTTCAGAATTCAGTGGCTAAACCTGGAGAATGGTGATGGTATCAATAAATCCCTGTTGGTGGTCTGCAAGACCCTGCACGATAACCACAGGAGTTCCTGTGCTGCTAACGCAGTCCCAGGTAATCCAGGGAGTGGAGAACACCAGATGGGACCRCTGGGTGCTGTCAGCAGTTTTTCCTGTGGCTGGCAAAGTCAGGGAGGTGGCTAGAGCTGACAATGACACTGTGCATGGAACACTCCCATGCCCATTGCAGTCTTCCCCACAGCTGAAGGATGCAGCCACTGACCAGCAGCAAGCAATGGCAGCACACACAGAACCYTGCAGCAACTTCAAATGTTGAAGTCTCTGAAAGTGACTGTTTGGTGCACATTCCTTTTCATCCTGCACTCCAAGCACACTCACAAACCTCTCTCCCAGGCTCAAAATACCTTGTCAGCTACAAGGAATCATTCTTGGCCACATTCCCTGCAAGGAACTCATGTCCTGCAGTTGCRTACATTTCACAAGTTAAAATAACTTTTTAAAAATCTTCTAAACATGGACTGATTGGCGTCATCATTACCAGTAGCAATGGAAGGTTCTAGAAAACCTATTCTATGGAATCCTGCTTATAGGGAATTGTTTTAGGGAAGTGGTGGTTTTAATTTTAGGGCCAAATCAACAAGGACATTTGGAACAAACAACASCAAAAGCTTCATACTTCATCTAAATATACTTAAAGGTAAAAATGATGGAATAAATCTTAAAATTGAAGATTAATTGTTATGGAGTTCTTTATGGGCAAAAGGAACCTCAAGCCAGATTATATTTTAGGTCTATATGGATACKTCTGTCTGAGGACCTCTAAATGAGAATGCTAAATCCCTCCTGAAGACCCAAATGAAAACCTGTGTGCATACACTCCACACAACAGATGAAGATGATGACCAGGAAAGCCATTCACTATCAACAACATCCACTTGGAAATTTTTGGCCTCTCTCGTTTCTAGCAGGTGTATGGAAATGAGTTTAGGATTTCATGTCAGGACTTGCAAAAAAACCCCAAACAAAAAAAAAAAAAACCAACAAAAAAAAAACCAAACAAGCGAAAAAAACCCCCACCAACAAAAAAAGTCAAACTTTATAATTCTACATTATTCTATGAGAAAACTGGATTCCAGWGCCTAGGATCTGCTTTAAAAATGCCTTCCCCACCTCAGATACCTCGGGGATTGTTATAAGAAAATTRTGACTAAATTAGGCCTTTACCTGGTCCATGACTGTCTGTGTTACCAGCTTTTTGTACTGTCTCTAGAAATGATAGCACAGCAGGTGTTAATGTTGGAGTTTTTCTTGTAGTCAATGGGTGCTTGTCCTAGCAAAAAAGATGCACAATCATCACTCAAGGAGCTTATAGACTCGTGAAAACTCTCCAARTTACTGTTGAAGTAGTGCTAGGAATGAACAGGAGAAAGATCCACCCTCTYCCACTTGCTAGTCATTTTTCCTGTTCAAAGTGGGTGAATGAGTAATAAGATTTTTCAACCTCTTAAAAAACTCCAAAGAAACCCTCCTAAAAACCCGCAGTCTCCTAAAGAAACTGTTTACATTATTCTCTTTTCTATAGCAAAACGGGATCTCATTTCAAGAGACCGATGATTTAGCTCCACTTTTCTGATTCCCCCAGAGGGCTCTGCCGTTTGGCCTTGTGGCTAGTGACCAGGGGATAGCAAACCTTCCAACAGCAGGGAGCCCTAAAGGACAGGAAGAGCATTCTCCATGTAATGCAAATGCTCGCAGATTTCTGAATCTCTACAGATGTTACCCTGAAATACAATTGCAGAAGAGTCTGAAGAAGTTGTCTCAACTTTTTCGTACAGTCATATTCTGTCACTTTTTTATCATTAAAAGGGCTCCAGCTATGGGCAACTCCCAGATTACATTCATCATTGTGTCTTTTTATARGAATTTATCAACTTCCCTGGAATTTTAAGTCTTATATTAATGTAGGTCTTTACCCACCATGAACTACAGTTTAACAAATCTGCTTCCAGAACAAGACAAGTGTGACTGTGTTKGCTTACCAAAGCCGGTCTGGTGGAGCTTGCAGTGTGGCAGACAGCTTCTTCTTCACAAAACTCCACATCGCTCTGTTCTTCAGCCTCATCAAAACTCTCTGAGCAGCATGGACACTGAACATGGTCTGAATAAGAAAAGAACAGCTTGTGTCACAGYTTGTGCACTACAGAATTGCCCTGCTTTACTGGAGTGCTCAAGGTGCAGTTCAACGCCTGGCAGCAGATGTCCATGAGGAATTTCCACCAGTTCCCAAAGTACAAACTTATGAGAACTATGAAACTTTCCTCCAGAAAAACACTTGGGATCCTAAAATACATGCTTATGGTATTAAGCCAGCAAACCACTGCTTTCAGGAATAAATCCTGGGGATTCATAAAAGCAGATTTTATTATCTTTGTCCTATTCCTACCTGCTCCCAACCTCACAATTAACTAGTTTGAGCCAAGGTCCTGGAGAAGCATGTGAATATCCAGATCTCTGGCTGCAGAGAGTGTCTTAGCCTGGTATTAAGTGCCAGAGGACAGTGGGAAAGACACTTGCATGTGGTGTGAACAGGTGGATRATCTGCTCAGCCTGGTGGCAGAGCTTAAAGAGGAGCTGGAGAGGCTGAGGGGTATCAGGGAGTACAAAAGAGAAGCAGACTGATGGAGTGGCACCCTTCCATCCTTGAGAGAAATGCAGAGGATGGAAGATCAGCAAGAGTCTGAGGAGCTCTGCCTCTCTTGCCATGAAGGAGACCTAAAAGCAGGGATATGGAAACAGGTCCCTGCTCCGGGAAGCAGAAGAGTCCCCTCTGGTTTCCCTCTCCTTCCCAGGGTCCCTTAGGTGTGAAGCCTTGGATCTCAAGGGTCAGGCTGATGACAGTGGGTCATCCACACCCCCTCTGGGGGTCTCCCTGATCCATGCAGTCAACCAGACTGGAGCCAGGTTTCTGGGTGTGAAGCTGCACTGTGAAGAACACGCAGCAATGCTTTCTAAAATCTGTTTTAACAGTATTGCTGTCCTGATTCTGCTAAAAGCTCTGCTGCCACACTTATGGCTGGTGCAGTCCAACTCATTGCAATGAACAATCAGRGCTCAGGGTCAGCACAGTCACATTCAGCCATCACACTGCCCTTGAGGTTCTCAGACCCTTCCTCCCTGCCCAGTGCCTTTACAAAAGCAGTCYGAGTGTCCTTACCCTAATGCTAAAGCTACAGCATATTTACAAATTATTTCTCTCAGTAACAATCCATAAAAATGGCCCAAGCAGMCCCCAAAAGCCTGCTCCAGACAAGTAGTGGGGGCAAAATGGTTCTGAACACGGAGAGGGAAGGATGAGACAGGGCTCATCCTGGCTTCAGGGGCTGGCAGGGATACCTGGAACTTCAGGGGACAATAGGGAGTTTTGGGCTCTGTTTGGAGGAGGATGAGACAAAAAGGAAATCCTTCTCTCTCCCTCCCACAATCCATGTACTTTCTCACCAGACCTGTAATACAGGATATACAGTTCTGTAGTACAGGATATACATCCTCACAAGGCCACTCAGCAATTTGTCCTTCCTAAAAAGCAATTCTCCAATTCCTTTTTCCACAACTACCGCTGCTCTTGCACGACTTGGTTTCCTCCAAGAGGGAGAAGGGAAGGGAGGGTCTGCTCTTAGAGTTGGTAAAGTAAGACCAGAAAAAACAGTCATTAAAGAACTCAGCAGTGGAAATTCAGAGGAGCTTGACCCCAATCAAGGAAGGAAAATGTGTACTGCTGCTTATACTGCATCTCTGTCATCTAGGAGAGGAGAGAGGCTGGAATCATGGCAGCTGCTTTTGCTATCAGTCATGAATTCCTGCTCTGGAAGTGAGCCCAGGGTGCCCCCCCTTTTCCCTTCTGCATTCTGCCTTCCTAACACAGGCAGGACTCCACTGAGACCCTTTCCAAGATTGCTCCCATGTTTTACARATCACACTATCATGAGATAGTGTCTGTATATGCATCCCTTTGGATCTGTATCTTTTAACACAGAGGGCTCTGTGCAGGTGTTAGCAGTAAACCAGACCTGTGTTTTTCTAAATGCCTTTCCCTSTCTGCAAGGCTGGGTGGAGAAGGGGCAGTGGGAGAGCCACCCGTGGGAGTGGGGAAGCCTGAGTACACTGCAGTTGTTCTGAATGGAAAGAGGATGTATTTCACCCTCTGACAGTACAGCTATCCTGACTCTCCTCCTCAAGTCCTCATATCAGACCCCAAACTTGCTTCCTTCAAGTTTAAAATGTATGGTTAGTTTTCTGTTCTTCCCTACTGCCTCTGCCTTGCATTCCTACTCAATTCAGGCCAAAAAATGAAGCTGAAAATTAGAGCCTATGGAGGGAATTAATGTTCACATTCTGTTGTTCCAGGGCTGCAAAACTGAAGCCCATCTGTGGAAAATAAGATGTCACTGCCTCACCGAAGATCAATACAAGAACAGCAAGAAGACAAAGTGGACCCCAAATCTGGATTGGTGCTTGGTGGGGGAGAAGGTGGAAGAGGGTGGCCCTCCTTCACAGCTTTTATAGCCTGCTTGGCTGATTGAATTGTATTAAGAAAATACTCCTAATTCTGCTTCCAGTTAGATTTCTTCCCTCACTGTTTTCTGAAATGGAAATAAGAGAAGGCATAAACTATACTTCCCTCTTGTAAAGGGCAGAAATATCCTAGAGCAAGGGATTTCCTTTCTGAGGGAAAGAAAAAATGTTACAAACAACACGAGTTTGCTTCTTTTTGAAAGGCACAGAAAAGCTGATTCAGCCCTTCACATCTATTGACAACAGTGGCAGAAGGATAAAAAAACAATGCACTCCAAAAACCACCGTGGTAATGTGTTTAAAGACCTAAGAGCACTTAGGAAGGATTAGAAAAGATACTATGACTAACACCTTCCCTTCTCCACTTCTCACTTTCTTTTTACTCGAAACCCTTGTATACTTCTGTTTCTTTTCACAACTGATTTTAAAGGACATTTTACAACAGCAGTGTTGTATCAAATCAGTAGCAAATTGGTATCTCTGGATGMAATAATATACATGCATGTCCATGTGCATTCACCTCCTTCCCTGCAAAATTACTTCTTCCATTAAGAACTTAAGTATCTTTTTCTCCATCTCTGTAAACAAGTTCAGCTCAAACACATTTGTAAGCCCTTCAGTAAAAAGACAGTGAGTCTCTGCAACTTCATCTGCGAAAGGTCAGCTCTCAGGTTCTTCTTTGGGCCCTCATGCACYATCTTGGGTAATGCTCTTTTTCAAATTTAGATGAAGAGAAAGCTCTTAGAGATTCACATTGTYTTTAAAATACATATTTGAACATTTGCTAGAAAAGCAAAGATGCTTATGTGCCCAGGGCAGCCATGACATTACTGATTTGAAATATTCCCAAACACTAGCAGCACTGGGAGAGAGAGGAAAGAATTTGGCACCCAGTCAAGCACATATGTGAGTCTCATCCACAACATCCAGGCTTTGTCCTTGGAGGAAACAATAGTGTTAATGGATGAAAGACTTCATCTGGACATAATACACACACTTCAGTTTTAACTGTACCTTTTGCAGGGTCTTCTTCTTCACAGGGGTGGTTTCTGTTGCCTGTAGTCTCTGTTTCAAGTTGCTGAAGGACTTGCTCTTCCCCTTGAAGGCTTTCCTGACATATTGGATCAGCTTGGATGCGAAGAAAATCAGTTGTTTATGGGTCAGARTTATGCTTTGTTAATGATGATTTCTTACCCAGGCTTTAAAATTACTTCTATTCAGGAGCAGGGAGCTGCAGCAGTATTTATTTTGAGTTCATTTTAACTCCTGAAGGACTTTATCAAAACTTGAAAAAGCAGTTCAACACAAATAAGAAATAGAAGCAATTTCCAGTTTATTCTGCTCAGGGACGTGGTGGAGGCCAGTCCAAATAACGATGTGCAGAGAAGAACACACTGGGTCTGTGAACAGGAGCTGTCCTGTTGGACTCCCCCTGACACACCTATTTTTTTTTCTTTCTTGGTTAAGAGGGAGAACAGTCTGATCCTGTTCAAGGAAAACTAGGGAGAGCACCTGCATCCAGAAACACAAGGTAATTTTAGATAGATAAGGGATCCAGTGCCAAATTTGTGGAAGAGCCATGCCTCACAACAAACGAGGTTTTAAGGTTCAGAAGTGTCTCAGATTTTAGCACCACTCTCCCTCTTCTGCAACAGGATGGGCAATCCTCTTTGTGAGAAGCACCATGGAACTGARGACCAAACTACAGCCTCTCTGCTGCACTGTGAGTTGTGTGAGTCCCTCCACAGCTGGTAAATTAAATGTTTCTGTCTTACTTTGCTTACTCCCCCTTTCTAGTTTTCAGTTATTCTCTTGATCTTCTCATTAATTTCTCATGCTATGCTGTCCACTTTCTTTCCACAGGAATTAAGTAGATGCCTAAGCAAGGCAATTTGGTTGCAGCTCAGCTGGATTAAACAYACCTCATTCTATTAAACCCTGCATCTCTAAATCCTCATTTCTCTTTGAACATTCTACTCACATGTTTCAGGTCCTTCCTTTCTGTTTCTTTGACAGCAAGCTTGAGAGGAATATTCCTCAGCAGTGCAGAAGAGCAGCAGATACCTGTGTCTTGCTCACTGAGGAGCACACCAGGCCTGCATCATCAGGGCACAGAGAGCCATTGTTGGATTTGTATCTCACACGAGTCACAGGGACACAAAACATCTCACCTCTCTCAAAACACAGATCTCTCTCTTCTCAAACTACTTTGCTGGATAAAACCATTGTGCTCTCATGTATCTTGAGACATGAAACACTAATCCAAGTACTTGCACCTTTGTATTGGTTCTTACAGTCACTCAGATTCCAATGTGTTCTTTTTTTGTTTTGTTTTGGGTTTTTTTTTCCCCTTGCCAAATCAGTTTTTAGCACTGTTTTGGGGCTGATCTGATCTACCAAAGGGACAAAGGCTCAGTAACACAAACTGAGGAGCAGAGATATATGTGCAGAGCCCCACCCCTTGCAGAAAATCCCTGCAGTTGGGTTGTGCCAGGCACACTGTGCAGCCACCCATTCAGTTTGTAATCCAGTGATCAGGGAGGTCAAGGGGAATCTTTTCATTCATTTCAGCAGACTTTGGAACAGAGCCTGGTGCCCACATTATGCTGTCAAAGGGACTACTTATCAGATGGTTTATTAGTCTATTTTTCTCCAAGAAGAGTGAAATAACAAATTCAGCCTAAAACCCTGGAACAAAAAAGGAAGCTGCATGTTAGTAATTTATGCCTCACCAAGAGAAAATACATGATTTAAAATTCAGTGTATAGTAAACATGGTTTTGGACAAGCAGGTAAATTAAGATAGTKCAAGACTGAAGATGAATTCAGAGTATTTCTGTGCACATTCATTAATTCTTTAATCAAGTTCACTAATGAAAGCAGTCACTAGATAATTTGCTGTTTCAAACATGTTCAACTCCTCTGCTAGCACTCACCTCCTCCTTCCCTGGTGCTCATTAGCCATTTCAGCAAAATGCATTGACGTTACCATTAAAAAGTTCTTTTTTACCAGAACATCTCATGCAAAATGTTTTCCCCAGGTTGTAGAAGGGGCYAGACCTTGACTTCAGGCAGCTGTGCAAAGCACAAACCATGCAAGAGTCTTGGTTACACAGTACAGGATATCTTGACTGTGGCACTGGGCACTTGGACAGGGCCCATGCTGGAACAGCATTTCACTCTCAGAAACGGACATCTCCATAAAATCACAGAATATCCTGACTGGAAAGGACTCAAGGATTATCAAATCCARCTCTCCAGCTGCATGTCAGGGTTCCCTTTTGCAGAACTCCCTCCTTATTTATCCTGTTCCAACAAAGCACAAGCTCTCCTTGGCTGTGACAGGCAGCATTGTTTTCCACATGACTGCTTAGGTATGTGCTTTCACACTGACGTCACAGTTGGCYGAGGAGATGGTGGAACAATACTGAAGTTCATCCCTGCTGACCTGCACCCAGATTTATTCTGTTTGGAAGTCAGCAGGAGCTAGTGATACCCAGTAATGGCTCAGGTAGAAAGTGTCATGTGAAGWGTGACATCATCTTCATTAAGATGGAATGTTTCCATGATATGCTAAACAGCATTCCACAAGGATCTTCCTCTGTAGACATCGAATTTTTTGAGATTTGGTTTTAAATCACTGTTTTTGGGAAAGAACAGGTGTTAAAGCTACATGGAAAGTAGTTTCAGGCCCTTCTAACTCCAAAGGCAGTCACACACTCATTTCAGAGCAGGRACATGACTTGTATTAAACAAAAATAGCCATTAAGAAAAATTGAAAATGAGAGTCCTTTTCATTTGACTTGTAGCCTACAGAGGTATTTCTCCAAATTAACCTCTGTAAGGACTTCTCATTCAAGTGTTTGTTGCTAAAACAGAAGAAATCATTGTCTTGCTAAGCAGATGAGTGACTGCTTTTGTTTCTTACCTTTTCCTTGGGATTTTACCACACCCCAAAGCACAGTGTTACTAGTGTTTCACTGATAAGAAGTGCAGAGGAACTAAGCTATCTTGTAATCTTTYTGACTCTTCCTATTGCCTTTGTTTAAATGTCTTTCCTCTTCTGTTTCCAAGTAACAGCTGTTTCTGTCCTTATTCTGGACTATACTCTTCAAGTGTCTTCCTCTGCCTCCCCCCTCTCTTTATTCTGTTCCCATTCCCTCAAGGGTTTTTTTTTTGTTTTTATTTCGGTATAAGCACAGTATCACTGAATCAGTGATGAGAATCTAGCAAAGAACAAGTGCACTGTCCTTAGTAAAAGACTCTCCTTTGTGGTAAACCATAAAATCATATTCCACCCCAAAGCACTGAACAGCATCTGTTACTTACTTGTTCTATTTAACTCATTTCCTGGTGTTAGACTCATCTCAACAAAATTCCTTCTCACATTTTCTTTTCGGTGGTGTTGTCAAGAGTCAGGAGTACTGGGTGGTCRGTATTCAAGTCACCACAGAATCAGTGATTACACAATTAGCAATTATGACACAGGCAGACTGTGCTTAAGCTTTTGAAACACATGAAAACTAATACAGGTATTAACTAAAAAACTCTGCAGCTTTTTCTAATCTTACAGATTATTTCTATTGATTCTGTTAACAGACAATTTTACAAAATCTAGATATGTATACTATATTGATACTTCCGTTTTCTGAGCAGTGATCAAGACTTGTTGATTCAAATGCCTCTTTATTCCTTTCTCCAAAATCATGTTACTTTACTAATTAAAATACATTAGAAAAGCCATCTTTCAATAAAAACAAGTACATTGAATTGTTTCTGTACATTAAAAGGCTTCATCTGTGCCTGTTAGCTTTCCTTCATCGAGTATTCACAAAATTATTGAAGGAATGCTGAAGATGCTTTGAATTCAACAGTAGTCAAGCCACTCCACTGATGTGTTTACCTTACACTAAAAATGTAAAGGCAGAAGATTGCTCAGTCTGTAACCCAAAGATCTAAACCTGAGGATTTTTTATGAATACAGAAGGACTCAGGACTGACTACTAATCCTATTAATTTCATTTACATGTTATGGACTGGTCACTATCAAAATAATTCCTGTTCACAGTACACACATTTAACTTCACCCCAAACCTAGAGATTCTGGYTCTCAGCTCATCTTTAGGAAGTMTTCACAACAATTGTAATGGGTAAWAAGCTTGTWTTCAAATAAARTAAAATTTRACWCCAGACCTGAGRAAGAGCATTCCAGAAAAACAACAASAGTRACTATCTGCAACATACACTATTTATCCAAATATCTGCTGTTTGTTTGCCATGMTACTCAGACTGAGTACTTCCAGCAAAGCCAATTCCAATGGCAACATTAAAGGTCACTGACTACTGTAACTGCCAAAACTCATTGATAGATTTTATTTGCCAGGAAATGTAAAATTCAGGTAACAGGGATGTCTAGATACACAACATCTTTTCAGACACCTCTGTTTACAAAAGGTAATTCTACAGTTTCCATTGTAGTACCAGAACAATAAACAATGTACCCCCCAAAAAAAACTAAGGAGGAGTGAGAGTGAAAACACCTTTACTTRCAAAACTGTATCGTAGCAAGGCACTATATTCAACCATCAGTATAAGAAAAGACATAAATGAAAATACTGTTTTGTAAACTGAAATAATTTAATAGAAGAATCTAATCAGATCAAATCTGTACGATTCTCATAATTTGTTGAATACATTCAACAAATATATACATATAAYTCTGTTCAGTGATAACTTGTAAGAAAAATATTGGTAATTTTAAGACATTTCTACCGTAACGAAACTTTTCACCAAYTGCCATGCCACTCATGACAGAACAGACATCACCAATACTTTGTTTTATAYAGAATTTAACTTCAGAAAAAATTAKAAARTAACAGAAAAAATSTTACTGGGTCTTGTTACAGTGAGATTTGAACAACTSCCTTTCAGCAGGAGGGGCAAAGCTATGACAAAGCAGTTCCCTTCTCAATATAAATGAAAAATTCAGGATGTTTCCACAGTAAGTTTCTCAGTTTTATCATGACAGCTTCAGACCTTGCACATTTTGTTTCAGATTGAGCAACTCTTTTTCTTGTCTTGTTTTCTCCAATTTGAAGGCCATCTTGTTGGCTTTCTTCTCCATTCTGCGCTCCTGTGCATCGGAACAATGAAAAATTTACAAAATAGGAATTAACATGCAAAATCAAACTAWTCCAACTAACTCTTCTAGATCATGAAAACAACAGCAATCTGCACAACAGTATTATTTATGGTACTAATTATTAGTAGTCAAATTAATGTGTACCACCAGGMTAAACATCTTTAGTTAGCAGAARCTTCWAACATGCTGGCATTTTCTGTTMCTAAATAAGARAGCTAGGATTTCATTGCGACCAATTAGGATTTGCCATGTTTCTTTCAGGTATTTT